GGTGATTCAGGCATAAAACCAAGGCCTATAAAAACTCGAAAGGAACTTCTAACATGGAAATCGAAAAGTGACCTCCATATCAACACAAACCCATACCAAAACTCAATCTGACAAAAAATCATTTACAGTTCGATTCAACATCGTCAGATTACACGAACAAACACGAAACACAAATGCGAAAACCAAAAATCATGAACAAATTCAAATCAAATCGAGGCATGAAAATAGAAATTGAGGTTACCAAGCGCGAGATCCAGGGCCGTAGGTTTTAGGGTGAGCGTTCCAGATGTTGCTGTGCCCCATCTTCTTCACTTTCAAGCTCAAACACAGACGCCGCTCGATTACACGCTCTGAAAATGTGAGCTTTCTGTAGGGTGTGCGTCCCTTTTATATGAGCAGTGAGCGGGCCGAAAACCCTAATGTAAGATTTGGGTATTTTCAATTTGTAATGCAAGTAGATAAGTCAAAATATACTCCTGTTGGACCGGCCCACGTATAAAAAATGGAAGGGTTGGGCTACATATTTGGAGATCCATCTGAACTTTTACCCATCTGAACTATTGCGATTTTGGCCCATTACCATATGAACTTCGTTTTTTTACAAACTACCATTTAGGGTATGTTTGGTAAGCCAAATAAGCTAGCTTATAGCTTATTTGGTTAGCTTATAAGCTCCATGTATTGAAATAAGCCTTGTTTGGTAGGACGAGCTTTTTTAAAAAGCTCGAGCTTATTTCATAAGCTACTTTAGGTAGCTTTTCAAATAAGCTAGTTGAATTTTTTATTTCAGCTAGCTTATCAGCTAATTTACCAAACATCTTTTATCATATAAGCTAGCTTTTCAGCTATAAGTCATAAGCTATAAGCTATAAGCTCAAAAATTATATATAAGCTATAAGCTAGCTTATCAGCTATCAACTAGCTTATCAGCTAATTTTACCAAACATAGCCTTAAACTATGCGGGTTTGTCACTTTGCCATCTAAAACCATAATTAAAGCGGTTTTTGTAAAAAAAAGCTGTTTAGTAAGGATGTTTTAGGAATTTTGTATATTTGTTTTTTTTTTTTTT